CCAAGGCCTATTAGCATTTCATTTAAAAAAGTCTAATTAATGGTGTCAAAAGCCTTTTTAATGTCAATACTCAGCATGATTCTTGGAGAGATATGTTTCCTGTTATAGTTCTTCACTAATTCATGATCAAGAAGAATGTTACTTGAGATTTATCTACCTTTCACAAAGGCACATTGAGCCTCACTTACCAGATATACCAACATTGACTTTATCCTGTTAGCTAGGATCTTAGAAATTGTCTTATAAATGCAATTGCAACAAGCAATTGGTCTGAAATCAGATGGAGTTTTTGGACAAACCACCTTTGGAATCAATGTTGTAGTTGTTGCATTTACAGCTCCTAAAAGCTTACCATTTTGAAAAAAAATCTTCCACTGCCGAGATTATCTCATCCCCAATCACATTCCAAGCAGACTTGTAAAAAGACATGTTATATCCATCGGGTCCGGGTGCTTTGTTGTCTGACATAGAAAACACTGTTTTTTTTCATCTATGGACACTGGAGTTGTTAGCATATCAGCTTGTGCATCATTTAAACATAGGCCATTTTTAATGATATTGATATCTGGTTTGGATGTGATACTAGAAGAGCCCAAGAGATTACTATAAAAGGAGATCAGTTCTTTGATGATATCCTTCCCTTCTGTGATTCTTTCCCCAGCATTGTTATAAAGTACCATGACTCTATTTTGATGTCTCTTTCTTTTGATAGCTGAGTGGAAAAAGCTAGTGCATCTATCCCCATTTACATTCCATTGAATTCTGGATTTTTGATGGTAAAATGATAGCTCACAATCCAGCAGCCTATTTAAGGAAGAAAGGCAATTTTTTTCATTGTATGATCAGTTTAGGATTAAGAGGGTCATCTTGCAGATTACTTTGCACAATTTCCAGATTTTTCATTGCTCTGGTCACTTGCTCACTAATATTATGAAAGCTTCTTTTATTTAGATCCTTCAAAGCCTTTTTCAGAATTTTCAGTTTGCTAACAATTGAAAACATAGTGCATCCAGCAATTGATTTCTGCCAAATAGATGAAATTGTAGGGATATAACTATCATGCTTGGTCCACATTTTGAAAAACTTGAATGGTTTTTTCCCTTGTGCACAATTTTTGTAGATTGAAACCAAGGTTGGGGAATGATCAGAACAACTTGGAAGGAGGAATTCAACATGACTAAAGTTGTATAGACTAATCCTAGAGTCATTAACTAAATCTCTATCAAGCCTGCTCCAAATTCTGAACTTGGAGTCATGTTTATTGTTCCATGTAAAGTAGCATCCTTCAGTTTTCATATGGGATAAATGTCAATGCTCAATAAAATCCCTAAAATTAGCTGTATCAGCTTCAAAGACAACAGCACCCCCTAATTTCTCTTCACTATCAAGTATATTATTGAAGTCACCACAAAGAATCCATGGCTTGTTCCCAGCTGATAGTTGAATTTGATTTAAGTCTTGCCAAAGAGATTTCCTATCTTCCAGGAGATTGTGACCATATATAGATGATATCAAGCAATCTAATCTGCCATCCAAGGATTTAACTTGGCAAGTAATATGTTGAGATGATTAGCCTTCAACATTCACTTCCAGTAAATTTGAATCCCATAAAATCAAGATCCTAGCTCTACCTCTATTGTTTCCATGTGAAATCCATTTCCAACTGTCAGCAATCTTTTTTGATATGATAGGAAGGATGCTCATTTTCACTTTTGTTTCCATAAGAGCCATAAAGGATATCTGACGTTGCATAATATAAAGCTTAACTAGGTGCTGTTTTGAGGACTTATTCAGTCCTTTAATGTTCCAGAAGGAGAGATTCATAAATTTATTTTCCCACCCCTATCCACTGTTGAGAGGTCATTATCCAGATAATTGAGTTCAGCAAAAGGATTTCCAAGCGCATGAGATTTCTTTATTCCAGCATTTTGTAGATTTATTCTGGTTATGTTCATTGGTAGATTTTTTGTACTTCTTGTTGAAAACCCAGGTCTAAGGTCATGAACATGCACAACATGCACCAAGTCAATTCCAGAAGTACCTCTGAATTCCTCAACTTGAGAGTTCCTTGTTGATACATCAGATTCAAAAACGTGGCCCTGAACATGCACAGCATGCACATGATTTGTAATTTTTGTATTTTCACCATTTGAGTGATTCCTTTGGCTCATATTCACTTGGA